GTGTGGCAGGGGACCAAGAGCTGGTCCTGGAGGCCTTGGCCCTGGCCCATCCCAGAACTGTGTGTCTGCTTGTAACGAGCTCAGCACTTGCCAGCTCTGTCTCCCAAGCCTCGGGTCAGAACACCTGGCAGCCTGCTCCAGCTACCTGCAGGTGCTAATGTCACTGGGCAGTAGGTGTGAGGTAAGGACAATCGATCTAGCATGTGGGCTGTTCTCATGAAACCTTTTTTCAGTGTATGAAAACTGGAATATTTGCTTGTGAAAGAGGACATAATGATACTAGCAATATTGGCTACCACTTACTGATTGCTTATCATGTGCCAGGCTCTGTGCTAAGAGCTCTGCATGCCTTGTCTCGCTGGATCCTCAAAACTACCCCACAAGGGAACACTATTCTTATCTCCACTTTACAGGTGAGGAAGGTGAGGCTCGGAAAACTGTGAGCAAGTGGCAGGTCTGGGACTTGGGCCCTGGTTGGTCTGACTCCAAAGCCCACACTCACCTGCTCTGCCATCCAGCGAGGAAGTAGTGAAGCAGGAATCCTAGATCCAGTCATGTCAGGGAACTTGTAACGGAAGCTTTGGTCGTCTTATTCCCATCACCTTTCTTTTAAAATAATTTGTGAAGCCTAAAATAAAATATCAAATGGTTCAAACTAGTCGCCAGTCAATGAAATTGACACAATATTTACCTTGCAAAGTAACCCTGGGTCTGTCAGACCTCAGGGTTGGAAGTTGCTAGACAGAATGAGGAAATGTTTCAGGGGTTACAGAGTACTAGAAGTCACCTAATTGAGTGCTTCCATTCACAGAAGGAGAAATTTGACCAAGGTCATACAGCAGAACCAGAACAAAGGCAACAATCGCTCCTGTCCCAGGGCTCCCAGTCCTAGCTTATGGCATCACCTTGACTCTCAGGAGGTCTAAATCTAGGGCGTGGAATTAGACAATTATTCTCAGACACTCGGTTTGCTATCTCTGTGTGAACCTGATTTTCCAGAACATGACAGAGTGTGAGACATTGGCAGATAGATGCCAGAGTGGTATTCTGAGTGTACTGTGAGATAATATCGTACCTAAATACTCAGCAATATTTCAGGTTCTCCTCCTCCCAGCATGTGGTAGGATTACACAGGGCCAGTGAAGTGTGGGCAGATGTGACACTTCTGGGGCGGAGCATGTAACTGCTGGTGTGAATGCCCTAGTGTGTCCTTCCCCAGCCATCACAACCTGTGATGTCCAGATGGTGGAGCCTCCATCAGCCAGGATCTCTGAGGAAGACAACATGGAACAGAACCCCCTAAAGACCTACAAAGGACATGTAGCATGAGAAAGAAGTAAACCTTTGTCATGGTAAGCCACTAAGATTATGTGTTACTGCAGCAAAACCTAGCTCATCTTAACTGATGCACCCAGGGAACAGCAGCCGTTCTCTGGTGTCCCATCTTGTGGCCATGGAGCAGAGTCAAAGCTGTCGGTTACCTGGACACATGGCATTTTCTAGATACAGACCTATTTCTTTGGGGCCATAAGTCTGTCACCCAATGAGCTGGTTCTAATTTCCATGAATGTATTATGATCAGACTCCTAAATTGTGAGGAAACCCACTGCTCTCTGACTTAGCTCTTCAGAAAGACAGGGAGAAGACTGGCACCCCCAAAGTTCTTCTCCCAGCAATCACAACAGTCGCTCCTCTGTTGCTGTGTGTGTGTTGGTGGGGGAGGTGATCTCAAAGTGAGACATCCGGGACGAGGGTTTGGAGCAGCGGAATAGCACCAGATCTCAAATGGCAATCATCAACACTGCCTGGGTGTAGGCACCGAGGGTAACAATGATGAATCAGACATGACCCTTTGATTAAAATAGCTCACAGTCACTTGAGAGAGGGACAACACACTACAATGCAGGGCAGAACGCAATTAACCTGTGCTTATGGCAGTAAGCATCATGTTGTTGGGATGGTCAGTTCTAGGAAGGCATCTGAGTGGGCTGTGCAGAGGAGGGGTGTGAGAGCAGAGCCTTGAAGGATGAGTGGAAGAGAAAGGCCTCTCCAGACTGAAGAAAGAGTATGAAGAGGGATGAGATAGGAGTGTGTGGGGTTTGTCCATTAATGGGGAGTGGTCTGGTGAGGCTGGAGCAGGTGTGTGTGTAGGGGAGATGGGGCAAGCGGGCAGGCCACAATCTGTTTTCAAAAGCCCTCAAATGCCTCTGCCATTCCCACTTGGTCTTTTTGTTAGAGATGAGGGTGAGGAAGAGAAATGTGGGGACAGGTGGTTTCCCACCTTTCACCTACTTGGGAACCCCCCCCCCACCATGCGTACACACACACACACACACACCCGTGTCAGGTATCAGAATTTGAGGTTAACATAGCTCAATTTGTAAAAACACACCGAGTACAGACCAAGCCCTTATTCTTGCATCTGAAACGTTGTGGGTATAATCCATGAAGTGATAACCTAGAAAAGGTGCTTCCTTTTAACTTCTTTACAGATTTCATGTTTTACTTTGTCTTTACATCCTAGACTCAAAGAGAATCTCAGAGGTTTCTAAAGCCCAGAGAGAGGAAGGGACATGCCCAAGGTCACCTAGCGTGAGGGAATGAGCGTAAAGTATTAGGACGGAAGCCACACCAGCCTCTGCTGTATTCTCAGCTCCTAGCACAGGGCCTGGCATATAGTAACTGCTCCACAGTTATCTGTTAAATGAGTGAATGAATGAGCCACCATCATACTCAGGCAATTCTGTATCTTTTTGCCAAACCTCAGCAAGAGAAACCCTGCCCTTAATTGCTCATGTGGATAAGATGTAAGGTCCAGCGCTGACCCAGATTAATCAGCTGCCTCTGTATCTCCAGAAACACCCTTAACAGTCACCCTAATTCAGGCCAGAGAAGGGAACAGTGGCACCAGCTCTGGGGATGCCAGGGGTCATGACAGACGCTGGAACCCTTGTCAGGAGGTGGCGAGCACAGATCCAGCAGGTGCTCTGTGACTGAAGATGCAGCCTTTGATCTGGATCCTCATACAACATGTAGCACTAGACAGCACACTAGCACCTTTGTGGGTCTGCCTCATCTGAGCTACACAGCACCTCCATTTTTCAGAGGGATTCTGAGTCTCAGATAAGCCATGTGACTTGGTCAATCTCACGCAGCTAATTAGTGCTGAGTGACGCTGGGGTGCAAAGCTAGGTTTTTTGAATCATGCATTGAATATCTGTTGAGTGACTGCTCTTGGCATCACTCACTGTAGGAGGTGTGTGAAGGAAGGAAATGGGGTCCTGCTCTCTAGTAGAGGGGATGGGTGCACAGCACACTGTAGAACAGAGGGACAACCAAAGGTGGAGGGAACACAAGAAGGGAGCATGTAACCCCTCATGGAGCAGGGAGAAGAGAGACAGAGAGAATGAACAGGGCTCTGAAGGATGAGCAGGAAGCCCCCACTGGGGAAGGGAGGGAGGACCTGCCTCTAAAAGGGAATGCCTGGATGGCTGTCAATTAAGCATCTGATTCTTGATCTCAGCTCAGGTCTTGATCTCAGGGTTGTGAGTTCATGCCCCGTGTTGGGCCCCACACTGGGCATGAAGCCTACTTAAAAATAAATAAATATTAAAAAATAAAATAAAAGGAAACTTCTTGGGCAAGATGTAGCACTGGGAAAAGACAAGATTCATTCAGCAGAGGATGAGCCCGTCAGCTCCTACAAATGCTAGATGCAATGAGGAAGAGGAATGAGGGGAAAAAATCCAGCCCTGACAGACAAACGGAACTCCAGTGCTGTCACAGGACAATGGCCTCACAGTCAATCCAGGAGTGAGGTGACTATATCTTCTTTATGTTAAATGTCACACTCAGCTCCTGTTTCTGCTTTTAACCAGGGGTTACCTGGGCCATAAGACAGCCTTCCTGCCTAACAAGACTGCTGTACCTTAGGGACATTAGGGCTCCCTCCTGACACTGGCATTTCCCAAGGAGGCAATGAGACCAGCTCAGAAGAGCAACAAAAGCCACCTGAGAGAGAACTGCCACCTCTGCCTACCCCTCCCTTTTAAAACTAGTCACTGAATGACAACACCCCTGCCAGATTAGAGCCTGGTGTTCCCTCCTCCTGAGACATCATTGTCAATATAATTTATTCTATAAGGCAATATGGAGGCCAAGAAGTGAGTCACTTGGCTTGCATGACCAGGGTTAGATCCTGTGACCAGTGGCTCTACTGGAATTTTATGTTCTTATATGATCTTCTAAAAATCAATGGATGAGGGAAGGAAAAAAAAAAATCGACGGATGGCCTATCATTCCTTAAAGACAGATGACCACACATCAGGCTTACACATCTTGTGGAGTGGAAATGTTTGACCCTTAATGCCCAAAGGAACACTAGATGAGCATCACCCATCACCCACAAGCCTTCCAAAGTTCATCTCACCTAATTCAGGGAAGAAGGGGCAGCCTTATGATAGGTGTGATATGTTTCTGTCCATATATTTTTCTTACTGGTGTACCCACAGCACCTAAACAAGACCTAGCACAGAATAAGTATTCAAAACCCATTCAGCAAATGAATGAATCTGAAATACCATGAGCAAAATTCAACCATATGGAGTCATAACCTAAAAAAGATGCTTCCCTGAACAGCCAAGGACTCTTTATATTACAAAGGAGTGTGCCAAACATGAATCCTACCCTTGTCTCCCCTGCACCCAGCCTGGGGAAAACAACAAAGAGTCTAGGGGTCTAGAATATGCCTCATCTCCCTAAGTTACGTCACAACTTGAGGCAGAGCTGAGGGCCAGCTTACAGGCCAAGCTCAAGTTGTGATGTAACTTAGGGAGATGAGGCACATTACAGGTCCAATCCTCTCATCAGATGATGAAACTAAATTGCAGAGGCAGGGCTGACCTGCCCCCAGGGCACACATCCAGGCTGCTTGGCTTCCAGGTCAGCAAGAGCTTTTTCTGAGAGCTGTGTGGTCCAGACAGGGAAGGAGGGAGAATGAGATGGCAAACCAGACGGCTGTGACAGAATACATCTTGCTGGGGCTACACGAGCACCCTAACCTAGAGATGGTCCTGTTTGTGCTCTGCCTGGGCATCTACACCATGAATGTGCTGGGGAACTCCCTCCTCATCGGCCTGAACATGCTGGACCCCCGCCTGCACAGCCCCATGTACTTCTTTCTCAGCAACCTCTCCCTCATGGACATCTGTGGCACATCCTCCTTTGTGCCTCTCATGCTGACCAACTTCCTGGAAGCCCAAAGGACCATCTCCTTCCTTGGTTGTGCCCTGCAGATGTACCTGACCCTGGCGCTGGGCTCCACAGAGTGCCTGCTCCTGGCTGTGATGGCATATGACCGTTATGTGGCTATCTGCCAGCCGCTTAGGTACACAGAGATCATGAGTAGGTGGACGTGCCTGTGGATGGCAGTGCTGAGCTGGGGGACAGGTTTTGCCATTTCACTGCTGCAATCCCTTCTCACCTGGAGCCTCCCCTTCTGTGGCCACAATATCATCAATCACTTCTTCTGTGAGATCTTGGCAGTGCTGAAACTGTCCTGTGGGGACATCTCTCTCAATGCGCTGCTATTAATCATGGCCACGGCTGTCCTGACGCTGGCCCCACTCCTCCTCATCTGCCTGTCCTACATTCTCATCCTTGCTGCCATCCTTAGGGTGCCCTCTGCCGCAGGCCGGTGCAAAGCCTTCTCCACCTGCTCTGCCCACCTCACAGTTGTGGTGGTTTTCTACGGGACTATCTCCTTCATGTACTTCAAGCCCAAGGCCAAGGACCCCAACCTGGATAAGATTATTGCATTGTTCTATGGGGTCGTGACGCCCTCACTAAACCCCATCATCTACAGCCTGAGGAATGCAGAGGTGAAATCTGCTGTCCTAGCCCTGCTCTGGGGAGACCTGCTCTCCAGGAAATTGTCCCACCTTCCCTGTTGCTCTTCAACTGTGTCACGCAAGACAGCTAGGTCCGTCATGGTAATGACTTCAAATCGCAGTGGCTGAAACCCACAGGGTTTGTTTCTCACTCCTGCGGCAGGTCATCAGCAGTAGACTGGGCAGGTGGGTCTGCTCTGAACCATTGTTTTCATCCCTCGGGGTGTCAGGATGATAACGCAGCTACCACCTGGAACATTGCTAGTCACCATGACAAAGCCTGGCTGGCTCTTCAAGCTTCATTTCCACTTTATCCACCAACGCAAGCACATGCCATGGCTAACATCAAGGGGGAGGTGAAACACACTCGCCATGTGTCTGGAAGGAGCGGGAAGACTGAGAAATCTGTGAATAGCCTAACGGTTGCCACGCCATCCTACAGTCAACCCAAGAGCCACTAGAGACGTGCCTTCCTTTTCTCTGACCATCACAACCCCACACATCGAATTAGTCACTAAGTTGAGAAAATCCACCTCCTAAGAGCTCCTAAATGGGTCCCTTCCTTTCAACGACATTGCCTAAAAAAACCTTCACTATCTCTCTCTCAAGTATCACAACAGCTGTGTCACCACATTTTTGTCCTCCAAACTCTCTTCAAAATCCTTCCTCTGCACTAGCTAACGCCCATTCAAAAAAACCCAAACAAACAAAAACAAAAACACCAAACTGATCATGCTACTCTCCTGCTTAAATCCCCCCAGTGGCTCATTTCCCATGGGATAAAAACCAGACCCCACCTCTCCATCCAACCTCATACTGGCTGCTTGCCTCAGCCCCACTCCACCCACACACACTCTCTGGGCCCAGGCCCGGCCAAACTATTCTCAGTTCCCCAACAACTATCAGTCTGCCCTGCCTCTGTGTCTCCCCCTTGCTCTTCCTTCTTGTGTCCAGACACTTCTTGACCTTTAGTTAACATCTACTGGCCACTCATCACAGACCAAGCGAGGCACAATACTGTGTCCTAAGTGCTTTACTCACTGGGGACCATTTGGAATGACAGAAATCTCAGTGGAGGAATGCAATATGGACACTGGTGACCAGAGAGAACCCTCTTCCAACACCTCGGCATTACGGAATCATTCAGCCCTCACTCAAATCTTCCCCCCTCTTCCTGAAAACCCATCTGACTCCTCCTAGCTGGGTGGGGTCTGTCCCAGCTCTGTGTCCCTCTTCAGTGCCTTCTGTACTCTGCAGACTCTGTTCTGAATCCCAGCTATTTGGGTTCATGCAACCTAATGACCTGAGTCTGTACAACCTAATATGAAGAAAATGTATTTCTGATACGGCAACAGCCCACATCTCTTGGCTCACCATTCAGTCAGCCACATCACTCTGCTCAGCGCCCCAAGGAAAAGAGAATTCAGAAAGCAGAGAACAAAGGGATTTTTCCTGGCTTTTGAGCTTCCTAGGCTCTAAAGTCTTAACAGAAGAGTCTTAAGGCATAGACAAAAGATTAGGGAGAAAAACTGAAAAGGGAGACTTTTCCACCTCCAGATTATTAAAAGATTCCCTAAGCTAGGGAGAAGGAAGAGAGAGGAGAGGACGCAGCAAGGGCACTGGCACAGAAGGGTCCAAAAGGAAGAGGCCCTGGGCCCCAATCCCGAGGACAAACCCCTGGACAGGGTTCCAGGATCTGAAGGATAGAGCAACTCATGCCTTGCTGGTCAAGTAAAACTCCCAAATAGTCCCCCAGAGGAGAAATGGCTTCGAGGGCAGCCGAGGCCTCACAGGTCTTTGCATGTGGCACAGAAGTCAGGAGAGCCTCAGCACTGAAAAGGGTTATGCAGATGGCACAGGAAAGCGCTCGGGGATGGCCTGCCTGCACTGCTGCCTGGGGACCAGGTGGAATGTGGGAACGCTCAGGGGATGGGTGCAGTGTGGACCCCGGTGACCAGAAAACTCTCTCCCAACATCTCTGCATTATATAAGATCCTTAAGACTCAGCTGTGACCCTTGTGGAAAGAGAAGAAATCCCAAACTGACGAAGGATGTTTCTCAGGCAAAATGGGGACTCAAAATAGAAGTTATGTACCGTGATATTTCTTGCACATTTGTGACTTGTACCTGCTAATCCAATTTCCTGAGACCTCAGCTTCCTTTCCTGTTGGGTGTGGGCACCACAAGGGAGGTCTGTCTTGCTAATTTAAATCATGTCAGCACACACACACACACACACACACACACACACACACACACACACTCACAACTCCCTACTCCCAGTGAATGCAGCCAGCCATGAGAGGGCAAAAGCTCCAGCAGCTCATTCTGGCTGGGTTCCCGCCACCCCTGCTGATTGCCTCAGACCCTCTCTTACCCTCTCCTCCCCACACCCTTGGCCCCAGGAAAGAAGGCAGCACAGAACCAGCAAATACTTCATTGGAGACACACCAGACTCCACCTGCATCAACTCAGAATACCAGCTGCCCCAGCCCCAGCCCCATCTGTCCTGCAATCCCCCTCCCAGCACAAGACAGCATGGCACAGCCCAGATGCTGCCTTGGGAAGGAAGCCTGAGGCCAGAGTTGCTGAGCTGCTGGGAAGATCTGGAGACTCAGTTTCCCCAAGATGGACTCCATTTCCTCGGGAATGATGCCATGTTCTGAGAGGGCTTTGTCTCCCGGGGAAGGAATCCATGTCCTTAGGAGGGCTCCATATCCCTGGGAAGGACTCCACACCCCTAGGAGTGACTCCTTGGTCCTGAGGGGCTCTGTGGCCCTGCACAGGCTCCAGTCCTTAAGAAGGACTCCATGGATGCAGGAAGACTCCAAGCCTTCAGGAAGTGCGCCAGGCCCCTAGAAGAGCTCCATGTCCTCAAGAAAGACTCCGTGGCCTCTAGAAACACAACCTGTCTCTTATCCCTGGGACGGCTCCACATTCCCAGGAAGGGCTCTCTGCCCCTAGGAAGGGTTCATATTCCCCAAGGGCCAGGCCCAAAGCCCCCCCTCAGCTGGCACAGATGCTGCTGACAGTGGCCCCTCCTGGGCCCACAAGGCCCAGCTCCTCCTGCTCATTGATGCACAGCTGGTAACCGCAGCCCCGGGCCCGGGCTCCAGATGGGACCCGGTGGTCAGTCTTGGCACGTGGGGGCAGCAAGAAGCCCACACTGCCAGCGATGAGCATATGCCAAATGCTGTGAATGTAGAAGTAGTTGTCTCGGGTCTCCACAAAAGCATAGAGTAGGACAGCACTGCCTGCAATAAGGCTGCCCGGGCACAGGTAGAAAAGCCAGCGGCGCCACGTGGGTGGGTAGCAATGCCGGCGGCGGACGCTGCGTACTGTCTGGGGGAAGCAGAGAAGTAGGACTCAGGAATACGAGGCCTTGTAACCCGAGCCAGAACTGGTCATTCTCAGGCTTCCCTGGAGCCCTGGTCGCGACCTGAAGGCACCTGCCAAGACTGGAGTGGGCACCACGAGCAGCGCCATGATGATGACCGGGTCCAAGCCCATCTTACATTGAGGACCAGACACTCAGGGCCCTGCACCCAGGTGCTGCTGGGACTCCCCCCTCCCCTAGCCCTCCCAACCTTACCCAGGCTGTGGCCAAGATCCCCAGGGCGAAGAGACTGGGTCCGAGCAGGTTCCAGAGTCCATGCCGATCAAGCTGTAGAGCCATAGACAGCAGCATAGCCCCCAGCAAATACAGCACCTGGAGAAAGAGGACTCCGGGGGCTGGGCCGGGTGGGAGAGGGGCACTTGGCAATGCCCCCAGGGAGAGGTTGGGAGTGAATTTCAAGTAGACTTTGTCTATGGTTGTCCCCCAGGGCCCACTCTGGACTGACCTGCTTGACCACAGGCTGTAAACGAGCCATTGCAATGACAGTGACCCACACCGACATTAAGGAGCCCAGGAAATCACAGAACTGCAGCACATCGTAGTCCATGATGCAGAAAACCACAATGCCTGGCTGGTCACAGGCATGGTAAAACTGGAGGAAGAAATGACAGGCATTGAGAGAACCTGGGGCAGTAGTCCAGGTCCGTGAAACTGGAGAAAGAGACGATGAGGGTAGTATACTGCTGTCAGAAAAGCAGAGGTCAGAGATCACAGGCTGAGCAGAACTGGGAAATGCCTGACTGACTCCCCGCTTCTGAGAAGAATGTGGTAGGGAGGCCTGGTCTGCTTCACAAGTTGTATGTATCTGGCAGCCCCGACCCCTGTCCTCACCCTCCTAACCTTTCTGCTTCTGGAATGTACTGTGGTGAGCACCAGGCAGGCAGGGGATCCAGGTCTGTCAAACTGAGGCCAATCCTTCCCTACTTCTCATGCTCACCATGGGTCCCACCTATAATCCCCACCCCTGGCCCAAGCTGTGGGGCTGGACTCTGATCTTGTGGCCAACCCAGACCCTAAGCCACCCCTGCATATCCCAGTCTCCCCTGATAGCTCAGGCTCATCTTCAGATGCATTCATCTTCAGGCTTACATTACCTGGCCCTCTTCATCCCCTCCCACCCGATGTCACGGGTGGAGAGATGAAACAGTAAGGAAAAAGGCAGTCCCTAGGCCATGGATAAGAGCATGTCACTTTACACCACGGAAAAGAATGTAGGGAAGGGACAGTGTCCACCTATCCTCCACTGTGGGAAAGATGGTAAAGAGGAGAATATTCAGGAGCTTCAAAGGGGGTGCAGAGGACACAGGTGGAACTGGATCAGACTATACTGGGCACCCCCATTAAGGAACCAAGGTCTGCAGTCAGCCGTCCTTGGTCTGTGGTCCCAACCCCTCTGCCTCTCTGGACAATGCCTCTGGCATCCTGTGTTCCCTTATTTGTAAAAAGGGCTACCCAGGAATAACCTGAGTTCTCTTTGCCTTAGAACATCTACTGTCACCTCTCTCTGAACTTCCATGTAGAATTTATGTGATTTGATTATTTGATTATTTATTGGTATCAAACACTAATCACATGTATGGTTTTAGGACTATCTTTGGTGCAAAAATGACAGGAACATATATCCCTCTGTGTCATGTGCTATGAGCCCACCCAAAGACAAAACAGGACCTATGAGGACAAACAGCTCCAGACTGAAAACGAACATCATGGTGGCATGCTCACTCCCCCATCACCTGATACTGTCCCTGCTCCGGGTCAGGAAGACTAGATCCTTATGGTGATGAAAGAAGAAAATTTAAATGCTATAATGGGAGAAAAAAGGTTTTTGACCTATATAAACGATGAAAATCTACTCATTGGAGCTGACCTTGAGACATACTAGCAGATTTTAGGGGATCAAAAAAATTTCTTAAGATTCTGTGAAACAGTATGCTTGATCTCTGTCCCCTGCATGTCACCCCAGGTCCTCAGGGAGCCATGTCTACCAAGGGCATCTCTTGATCAGAGAAACAAGCTGGTGTCATTGCCAGGGTTGGAATGAAATACATCAGGCTGAACTGAAGCTGGGGCAGGAAAGCTGTGTTGTACCACCCAAAGGTGGCCTTTGAAGCAGCTTCATCACTGACTGAAGGGACCCTTTGGGTACAACTTGCAGCCCAGATCAACTTCTTCATCATTCTATTGAAAGGCAACCCTACATCACAAGGACTCTCTGAATCCCAAGAGAGGTGGCCTTACAGACCTCAGTGAGAGAGGTAGCCCAGCCTTCCATAGGCATAACCTTGGCTGTGGGTGGAGGGCAGGGATATCCAGTCCACAGGTGAGATAAGAGGTAGCTGAGTAATATCACAAGTCATTCCGTTCTGGCAGCAATGGGTCTCTGTCGCTTCTGGGAAGAATGGAAGTGGGAGAACCTGGTCTCCTGCTTGACTGCATTAGAGTTGAGAATGAGAAGGTGGAAGTGAGGTCAGGAAGAAGAGTTCAGGAAAAAACATTCTATCCTGACCTCAAATGACAAACCATGACACCCCAGCCTTAATCAAACAGTATCCCCTGTAGAAAAAAAGCAGATGGAAAACAGAAGCAGGTCTGTTGTGAAAACTAGAAGAATCCCATCCAGGTGCAGAGCTGCCAACAATAGAGTGGGAAAACAGACTCGAAAGTTCAGTCTCTAGAAACAAAGGATGAGAAAGAAATTGCTAAGTTTCTTTTTAGCTTGTTGAAGATTTCATCCAGTTATTCAAATTGTAAAATTTGCACCTGTGACAAAGGAAGAAATGTGAATAATGTAAGAATAGGGAGGAGCTAGGAGTTTAGAAAAAGAAAAAAAAATGAAAAAGAAAACTTAGGTGTATTAATTGGCATTGGGAAACCTTGGGTTTGATTCCTCCAAATTTTAAAGTCCTAAGCTTATGTATCTGTCTTCTGTCTTTCCCTTCACTTTGGAGGTAAAAATGCTGTCCCTTCAGAAAGAGACTGCTTTGGAATGATCACGTTTTGAGTATCCCAGGCTTTTAAGTTTGGGGACATGGCTCCCTCTTACATATTATTAAACTGAGAAAGTGAGTTCTTACTGGGAAACTCTGAGAGACTTTTCATGAGAGTCCGCATCTGCATTAATATTAGTGTTTAAACACACCTAAAAGATTTATTTATCAAATTTTTCTTTCTCTTGTATGTCCTAATTAATTGAGAATTAATTTTGGCTCCTAATCAAATCAATATTTTGGTCTTTTGCTATTTTAGCTATTGGATATTGATTATTCTCTACCTCTAAGACCAGATATAAGTACTACAGCTACTAAATTACCCAATACTGTTTTCTGATTTGGATTTCATTTTAAAACATTAATTCTACATTTCAGCCCTCACCGAGCACTTGCTCCATCTGCCTGACTTTCAAGTATTTAGGAGGAAATGCCCAAACTGGGCATTTCTGGAATGCCCTTTCTGGAAGAGGGACTTGTAATAAATCCTTCAATCTCAGATAAGAGAAGATACACATCAGCAAAAGAAAAGTAAAGCCGAATCACCTAGTAGTGAAGACACATCTAAAGGAATAATTAACTGAAGGCTGAGTTTCTCCTAGGAATTTCTCTGCACTGAAAAAAAAGAGTAGGGGATAATGGAGAGCTTGTCTCTGGAGTAGAGAGGTTTGGAGAGCAATCATTTCACTAGTATTCTATGGCTGATTATTCTCCAAGCATACTAAAAGGTCAGAGAGATTGTTTAAGGTTGTAGGAAAACCCACGGGGATAGAGTTAAATTAAAATTGCAGCATGAGGAGAACACCAATCCTGATCTGGCTACAGTTACTGCTGAATGTCTAAAAACACCATCAGTAAAGCCCATCACTGACTCCTTCATGGGGCACAATTTGCTAGGGAAACCAGCCAACAACCTGTGTCAGCTTACTTCATTGAAACTCCTCAACCTGGAGAAGACAGCATCTTGTCATTATATATTCTGGGATATACATATTTGCTTCCACCTGCTCTATTATTCGTGTAACAGAATCCATTATCCCTTGCCGTGGTACCATCTTTAACCAGGAGACACAATTTGTAGTCAACAAAGGAAAGCAAATCACTCACCACCACAGACTTCACTGGTGTAAACATATTGCCCATCTCCTAGAAGCAACCGGCTGAACAAAACACCAGAATGGCCTCCTGAAGGCTTAGTTATGGTGTCACCTGGGAGACTCTACTCTAAAAGTCTGGAATACTCTCCTGTATGTTTGGTGCCCAGTATGTGCTCGGCAAGCTCTAGTCATCTTATACTTTATGCCATATATGTTCATGAAAGCACATCCCTACTGTAATAAACTTTCCTCCATGCAGAAATAAAGAAACAAACAAACTTGTAATATCGTTGATCCGCTGAAAATTATGGGCTATTTTCTACATTGGTATTCCTTATGTTAGCAGCAATAAAAAGAAGTGATAGAAATAACACAAGAAGATAAGGGAATATTTAAGAAAAAAAATTTAGACTACAAATTGGCTTTTGTTAATATAATTCTAATTTAATTTGATACTTCCTCAGCTTTGGACAGTTCTTTACTTATGAGGTAATTTTTGAAAATTAATGTAAATTTTTTTTCTATGGAATTTTATATTTTTATAACCTAACTGTAGAGTTCATCTAATGCTTCAAAATGGAGTTATCCAGGCACTACAGAATGTAAAACTGAAAATGCAGATATATTCAATCCGTGCAAAGATTGGAATATTTGCACTCAGGATATAATGGAAGTTACTGCTATTCTTTTATTTTCTGCTTCCATTTCCTCTTGGAAAAAATCATGGGATTTTGCCAAGGGCCACTAAGAATGACTGGTGAGGTATGAGAAACAGAAGAGATATGAGAAGGCAGGCTTGTAGCCAGGATGTCAGCAGTCAACAAGGAAAGCCCCAGACATCAGCTCTGTCTGGGTCTTTGGGGAGCGGATTGTAAGGATCCGACTAGCACTGTGAAGGGCTCACGGCTTTGGACTGCATGCGTTAGAGTTGCACAACTGCAATTATTGATAGATTTCCCTTGATGACTTCTTGTATTTGGTTATATTTTCTGACCTTTTCATTGGTTCCTACCTTTTAAGAATTTGAGAACTATTTTAATTTTTTTAATGTTTATTTATTTATTTTGAGAGAGAGAGAGAATGTGTGTTTGTGTGTATGTGTGTAAAATGGGAGAGGGGCAGAGAGAGAGGGAGAGAGAGAATCCCAAGCAGGCTCCATCAGTGTGGAGCCCAATGCAGAGCTCAATCTCATGACCATGAGATCATGTCTTGTGCCAAAATCAAGAGTCAGACACTTAATCAACTGAGCCACCCAGGTGCCCCTTGAGAACTATTTTTTAAAAAAGAATTTGAGAACTATTAACCTGAGGTCATAGGTTCTCTACATACTTCAGGATTTCTGAAAAACTGAAGTCAGGTTAGAAATTTATCAATTGCCTTGCTGCCTTGGTACTTGGAGAACAATATAGCTTAGTGATTACATGTGAGGGATCTATGGTTCTACCACTCATGTTACACCTCAGACAAAGTAGGTAAACTGCCCTCATCTGCAAACATGGATGATAAGGGCACCTATTTGGGTTCCTGGGTGGTTCAGTCAATTAAGCATCAGACTCTTGATTTCAGCTCAGGTCATCATTTCACAGTTCGTGGGACTGAGCCTGAGTTAGGCTCTACACTGATAGCCTGAAGCCTGCTTGGGATTCTCTCTCCCCCTCTCTCTGTCTCTCCCCTGCTTGTGCACATGTGCTCGCTCTCTCTCTCTCTCTCTCTCTCTCTCAAAATAAATAAACTTTTTTAAAAAAAGTACTTATCTATTACTCTAGTGCTATTGTGAGAACTCGGTTAGCAGTGCCTGACACACTAAATGTTATTTTATTATTACCATTATCTGAACTGGTCTTGCTGCATACAAAATCAAGTGCTGGATTTGTGACCTGTTTTTCTTTTAATGTATTTTACATATTATGCAATGTATTTTGCATTTTAAATATTTTACATATTTACACTTTGAACTCCTGAAGAACAAACCTACTGTCTACTCCCATGCCCTGGATAGGACTCGATGCGCTACTCCCAGGTATAGACTGTCCTGGATTTGAAGACAGGGAAGACTGTCATTTACTGCCCTGGGACTGTTACCTGCAATATGATCAATGGGTCCTTAAATGCAGACTGTGGAGGAACGAAGTAAGTCTAGACTAAGTAAAGAATGGGAAAGGAAGAGAGATGGGAACTTGCCCAGGAAAACTGGATGACTAGTAGCTCTACATTTTGGCCCATGTGGTAAAAGAACAGGGGTTAGAGCAAGACTTCAGGCAACACCTCAGAGGCCAGGATCTTTTCCTTGATCTTTTGCTTATTATCCTGTGTGTTTCTCTTTTGTAAGTAGACTCCACACCTGACATGGGGCTTGAACTCACAACCCTGAGATCAAGAGTCACCTGGTCTACTGACTGAGCCAGCCAGGCATTCTGCTTATTATCCCATTTAAGAAAGTGGAAGCTCTGTATGTGATGTCAGTCACTGCAGGCTCCCCTGGTGTTCCAACTGGGGAAAAGGCCTTTTCTGTCAAGGACAATTTGCCACTGTATCCAGAATATGAGGAGTCATCTGGCATACTAAACATTCTAGAGCCAATGCCCAGATGTTCGTGCAAAGTGCAGAGAATGGACACAGTCTCCCCACATGCTCCAGGCTCCTAACACACTCAGGTACTCTTACTAACTATGAATTCCATTAGATCTGCATGCATCCAGGAGTGGGCTGGTGGAACAGTTGTTGCTAGAGGATGCGGTAGCAACAGTATAAAGGGCATCTGGCAGTAAAGAGAAACACTCTCTACTATAAAAATAGAATGAGGCACTGTCAGAGCAGGTCTAAAAGGGGTGGGGGGCAGCCAAGCAAAATTGGAGTGTGCCCTTCTCACCCAGCTGAAGAGGCCAAGGTCTCTCTACAGGGCATGGTTATAGCCTCCTCTTCCTCATTTGTGCATGAACATCCTGGAGGACCCTACAGCATGCCCCTCAATTCACCCCCTACTTTCTCCTGAATGATAAGTAGGACTTTTGTGATTTGGACATATGTGTGATCTATTAATGCTGAACAAAACGGAAACACATATTGATTTTTGTGATTCTTGTTGCCAAGACAAGAGGAAAGTCTGAATCTATCTAAGATTTCTGCAGTGCTCATAAGCAGGCACTATATGTCACCAGATGCCAAGAGTCCAGAGATGAGCTGAAAAGATCCCTAGATGCAGCATCTCAGGGGGAAAATCTACATGGGGGTTACATCACAGTCGCAGGCTCACTCCTCTACCTTTTCCTTTCACTGTGATGCTTGCTCTAATATGAACTTTTCTGTTTGTGGAGGAGTGGGAAGACACGGAGAGGGGATTGTGGACATTCTGTAATGGGAGGGTAAGGATTTAAAACTATACTAATCTACATCAAAATATGCTCCTTTGAGCTGGAATTTTATGTCACACCACCACTTCCCATGATGGCTCAGGACGTAGCTGAGTCCATAAGATTTCTTAGGATCCCAAGAGCCAGAATGCTCTATAAACTACCCAGGTAGAGACATCCTCTCTGTCTTCCAAAAGCTCTCAGGAGAGTTCAAGGAGGCCATGGTGACTAAATGGGGATACACCTTCTCATACCATAAGAACATGCTGAAGATGCAGAAGTCCCCAGGACAATGAGGAACATGAACACAGTGTAGCTAGCCCTCACATCATGAGAAGTGGAGACTCCGTACAGAGACATGAGAGAAAGTGCAGATCCCTTGCCACCATTCAGAGTGGAAAGGTGAAGCTGTGGACACCGTTCCATACCATAAAACAGCCAGGGTGTTTAAGTAAAGGTCTCCTTGGCCCCTGGGGTGTGACACAGCTGGAGAACACACTGTTTCTAGTGGCTGTTGCTTATCTTAAGTTACAAACGGCCTTGTTAATTTATCCCAATGTGCCTTACAAAAATTACTATAGTCTTCGCATGCCATGACACTGCTGTAGAAGACATCGTTGAAAAGGAGACATCCTCATATGATGAAGGTGTAGACATCCCCACATCCGTGGAAAACACGGTGGAAATGCAGACCCTCACCCATCACCATGAAATAAGGACTTGGTGAAGACACAGATGCACCGCATACCGTGGAGAAGAACATGGTGAAGGTGTAGACAGCAGCCTCCAGCACATATCGGCTCCGAATGGCCAGGACCACGGGTGGCAAAAACATGAGGTTGCTCAGGCAGAGCAGAAGTGTGGACAGCAGCTGGAATCCATAAGTGAGCGCATCTGCACTGTCAGTGCAGCCCCAGCCCCTCCACCCTGCGAGGGGGGAGAGCACAAGGTGGAAGGTGGAAGAGGGCCCAAGGCAGCCACGGTTGGGTTCGGGTTGGGCAGACACTTCTGCTGGCGGCCTCTTGCCAGGCGCAACGTCACAGCCGGTAGTGGGTGGTCTCACCCTGGCTCGGCCCTCCAATTCTCTCCAAACCCATTCTCAGTTCCAGCTGCCGCCCCGCAGTCCAGACCAGCCCCCCACACCCCCCACCCAGGAGCCCACCGGCGCGGCTCCCTGGCCAGCCCAGCCCGCTCACCGGCCTTGCACTCGCAGGCCGCGTACAGGTAGTTGTGCGTGCGCAGCAGCTTGCACTGGCCATAGGGCCCGCAGTCGTCCACGCAAGGGGACAGGAAAGTGCGCAGCCGCACCTCAGCCGTCGCGTTCCGGCACCGCACGTACCTGCGCACATGAGGGCCGTGGTCACCTGCGGCCCCGGCCAGGCCACTACTTCCCTGTCCCAACCCCGCCCTGCCCCGCCCCGCTCCGCTCACCGAGGCCCCACGCCGCACAGAGAGCGGAGGGTCAGGAACCAGGTCCCGGTCTGTGGGAAGGGGATTCGCAGCCTGGCCACTCTGGAAGTGGCACTGACGGAGAGGAGGAAGCCAGCCAGGGACTCTTAGAGAAGGGAGAAGAGGGCATATATCAGTGAGAGGGAGGAGGAGTCAGTATGGGGTCAAGACCTAAAGAACCTTCACCCACCTGACCCTACTTCCCTAGCCCATCCTTTCTCCATACCATCCCCTACTGCCCCAGCCCCAGACTTAAAGCCTCCTCTGCTTCTCCTGTTCCTCACCCCCACCTTTAGAACAGGTCACTGCTGCATCCCCCAGGCTCAAGGGCACCTCGTGAGTCAGGCATCCGAACACTGTCACGTTTTCCTGGCGCAGGGAGCTCTGAGGAGGGCAGGTATGAAGAAGAGGCAGTCACACCCTCCAAGCCCTACCACCACCCCACCGCCCCCAGACTCCTACACCTGTTAACCCTTCTCCAGAAACCCCTCCAAGAGCTCGCTGGACATCCATTCCTGTAGGTGCTCTCCACGCCAAAGCCTGCCTTTCTCCTTCTCCCCGTCTTTTTCTCTCCTTCTCCCTCTCTCGTCTCCATTCTTAGAACAGAAAAACTGGAGAACACCAGATCTTCCACAGCAGAGATCTTTCAAAAACTAATGAGAAGGAAAGGCCTAATTCTGAATGTTGTCTTTGAGCAGAATTGTTTAAACTCTGTCTAGGCAAGGGAGAACATCCTGTTTCAGTCCTGTCTAGCTTGCTGGAGGGAATAGGAGGGGGACTGTTGCTGGATGTAGAAACTAGTTGTGAACAAAGGTAAGTGTAAGGTTTTCAGTCACCTTCTTATCTTCACCTGGGTCTGAAGGCAGGAGGCGTGTAAAGAAATGTATTCTTCCTCAGGTGAAGTGATCCTAGGTACTAAATATCAGTAACAGAATGCCCGAGGGGTTAATGTAGCAACCTGTCTGGGATTTAAAGAAACCAGATATCCACAGGACTAAACGTAAGGAGTGTCTACAACAATAAAAGTAACAGGATGCCATAAGCTCACCTCATTCAAGAAGGATTTGAGGTAGCTTATTAAATGCATATAATAGGATGAAGTAAATGCATGAGGGAAATTTAAAGATCAAGATAAGAAAATAAAGTCTGTCTCTAGCTGTGAGCCATATATTTGATGCTGACTTCCAAGCAACCAAAGCAAAAAAGGAAACATAATGAGTTACCAGATTTTATCTTATGAGTCCATAAGATAAAATTTAATCGGAGTCTCAGAAGTACAGCATCCAAAGGGGTGGTTCTCAGGAAAATTCTAATGAAAGAAGCACTGTATTCTGTCATGCATCCTGTCCTCAACCACAAGGGTGAATTTCATACAACTTGCTTATAACTTCCTTCAATGCAAGCCAGGGTAATATGCCAGAGTATTCCATAGAAATCATTCTAGTGGGAAGCCAAAGGAAAAATGTCCTCTAGGTATGCAGTTCTGTGATCCAAGTGTTCAGTTCTTGATTCCAAGGGGAAAAAAATTAAAATACTTGGAGGGAAAAAGCATAGAAGATGAGCCAACATCTTTCAGAATAAATATAACGGACTGTTTGCAGTGGGTAACAAATGTCATGGCATATAGATGGGTGTAATATAAGCGGATGAATGCAGAAGGGCCAGGGAGGAGCCATGGGGGGGTGGGGACACTGGCCTTCTACTCTCAAGACACTGAGGAAGAACAAGTATGCGTGGTGCTGGTCTCTGAAATGGGTGCTACAGTTTCAAGGTCAAATCAAGACCTCACTGTCACTGCCCAAAGGCAGTAAGAGTCCAAATTTAAGTATGAAAATAAGGAATGTCTTCAGGTTGAAGAATCTGCTCTGTCCTGACCAGCAGAAGGACAAAAAGTTCTGAGCCATGTGCCATAAAAGACCACATCTAGCCACAGATCAGGTCTCAGGTTGGCTGATAAGAAAATGGTGCCTGCCCCCGGAGCAGGGGAATAATAGAGTTAAAAGCCTGGCTGGGGAAACAGTACATAAATTATTGGATCAATGCCAGTCTAAGACAGTCACTAAGGTCCTGATACAGGACTCTGCCCTCAGCCCAGTCTTATTTAATGCTGAAAATAATGAAGCCTGGCTCTTCGAGTGTGTGAATTACATAAAGCAGGGAAGACCCAAGGCCCAAACTAGTATTAGGCAATGGCTCAAAGATGGACATGAATTCTTCCATTCAAGTTACAAAGTTCACTGCAAAAATATGAGACAGGAATGGGCAGCAGTTCACAGGCAGGCTCAGAGCATGAAAATGTGTATGCCCCTTGGTTGCAAGTAGATAAACACAGAAGTTAATATGAAAAAGGACTGAGAGGACACACAATTTTATGTCTTCGACTTTCCAAAACTTTTACATGTGATCCTATTATTTTTATAATAAAAAAGTAAGTGTCTACAACTGTTTTGAAGAAAATAAAAATGAAAAAGGAAAAGACCTCAAGATGTTAGTTCACCGCGGCCCCAGGTGATTCCCCAGTGTGATGTGGAAGCTGAAAGAGGGAACTGGATCTCAGGCTGCACAAACACCACCTGCCACCCTGGTCAGACCCCCTTGGATCACTGATCTCAGAGACACCATGACCAGAGGAGACAGCAGAGGATGGGAGATGTCTAAGATGCTGAGATTGTTCAGCTTAGGGGAGATTGAGGGGCATATGAAGGACTGTTAAAATAAGACGGCATATAACAACTGTACCACACCGATACAAGGTGTAAATAATAGAGGAAACTGTGCAGGGAAAGAGGGGGGATATAGGAACTCTCTACTTTCTGCTCAATTTTTCTATAAGCTTAAAACTTCTCTGAAAAATCAAGTCTATTAATTTAAAAAAAAATAAAAAGGACAAGGATAGATTTACTGGCAATAGCTTCAGGGGCAAAACAAAGATTGGTGGATAGAAATCCACGGAGGCAGATTTTCATGGAATGTGAAGACTGCCTTTAGCAATCAGAGCTAAATATGGACTGCATGGCCTTAAGAGGTGATGAACTCCCCATCACAGGAGATTTGCAAGAAAAGCGAACACCTGCCATAGAGACCCTTAGGAAGCGGAAGGTTAACCTATAAAACTGGGATAAGTTTAGCCCACTCTGAGTTGCCCTGGCTGACCTAGCCCATCTGTAGTAAAGTCAATACTCAGGGGAATGTTTTTTGACCAGAATTGGGCTGAGACATGGTCGCTAATCATAAAGTTGGTCAAAAGGAACCCAGATATGCTTCCAGAAGGAGTTAAGAGCCCCCACACCCCTGACACCTTCTCCTTTAAGTTCCCCTCCAGGACAACTTTCCCCCCTCCCCCCACCGCCCCCGCTGCTTTCCACCAAGAGTACCACATTGAGCTGGAGCTCCAGGCTGAGGACGCCCCCACTGTCCAGCACTGGCAGCAGCCTCAGGGCAAACACTGCCGGGCGCTCAGGGGGGAGGGCCACGCTAGGGCCAAAGAAGATGTAGAAGTGGACAGAGAAGGTATCCAGTTCATTACGCAGCGTTGGGCGCACTGGCCAGCAGTGCTCTGGTGGAGATGTGGCCCCAGGCCCCTCAGGAGAGGCCCCCAGGGATGGCGGCTCTGGGGGCAGTGGTTGGTTGCCCAGGGACTGGGGCATGTTCATGGCAGCTCCAGGGACCAGGACACGGGACAGGCTGGGCTGCGGGCACTCTGTGGGCAGAGAAAATCAGTGCTGGGGCCTGCTGCCCTCACAAGCCCTGCAGCCCCACCACAAACCAGATCTGAGCCAGACAGGAATTAGCAAAGGGTAGGGAGAGACAAGAACTAGAATCAAATGTCCCTTGGGAATATGGGGCATCCAGGGTCACAGGATCGGGCCCAGGGGGTTCCTAGTGGTCACAGCTAATGTCATGTCATGTGGAGGGAGTCCAAGTCATCTGTCCCTCCCTAAGGGCAGTGAAGACACTGTTGAAACAGATGATGGGCCCTCTCAGTGTTTGGCATGGGCTTTGGCAAGGGCGGTGGTTTTCGATGCCCCTGCCTACCCTAGGAAACTGAAAAAGAGACTAAGCCAAGGAGAGTATTGAGGTCCCTTAGTTAGCCCCAAATCTGGTGCAAAATAATGATCTGAAGGCCTTCCAACAAATCAAAGCTCCAAGTTGGTAGGGCTTTTGGGAGTGTAAAGGAGCCTGGGTGGAGTTGAGCAGACTACAGGGACATGGCAGAGGGTCAACGAACACAGCCACCACGCTGCCTCTTCCCAGCCACAGATATCAGCACAGGCTGAGTGGCAGTGCCAGAGGCAGATGTGGGGCTTCTGACCTTGCAACCGCACACACAGCTGGAAGCGGATGGTCCTGCCAGGACCCCGGGATGGTATCTCCACACGCACGTAGACCCAGTGCCCCCAGGGGGGGAGTGCCAGCTCCAGCTGGCACATCGAGGCACCTCCACAGGATACAGAGCTTGAGTTGTGCAGGGGTGGGGCCTTGGGACGTAGGCGCAGTGTCAGGGGGCAGACCGATGCCCCACGGCTCCCCACACATACCAGCTGTGCTGAAACCCTGTAAGTAAAGCTGGGCACAAAGACCCTGGACAGAGGGGAGGTTGGGGGTAAGAAAGGACAGGTGAGAGGGTGAGAAGGACACCAGAATGAAGAAAACACTAGGAAGAAGTTAGCAGGAAGGGACAGGGGATAACAGGAGGTCTTTTCAGGTCCTCCTGTCCATGCTGAGAGAGAGGGAGGCAGGGGTCCAACCCACCCTCAGGGCTTTGGGTGGCCCAGCAGCCCAGGTTGGCCACAGGGTGAAAAGAAGCCAAAAGAACGCTATTGCCTATTTGAGGCCAGGGAAGGAAGAGGGAAAGGAAGAGGGAAAGGATCAGGTCTGGGGGAGTATCTGACTTACTTGTACAGGGCTGAGCGATTGTGCGGGGAGAGGGTTTGCTCTGAGGGACGGCCAGGCACCAGCACAGCAACATCCAGCAAACGCCGGACAATCAGCTGCGGCTGAAGGAGGTACTGACACTCATCCTGGAGACCCTGAGACAAAAGCAGGGGTGGTGGGAGGGTAGAGACAGCAAGGGTGATACTAAAGCAAGGCAAACAGAATCTGCTGAGGGGTCGGGGACAAAGCTCCTCTGGCCTCTTGCCCCCAGAGCTAGGATTGAGGTCTCTCTAGGCCCTAGGTCCCTCCTGCCTTGTCTGCACCTCTGTCTTTCCTAGGTCTCTAGGATCTGCTGTGATCCTCGGCCTTGGCTGTTTGGGGACTCAAACCCAGTCCTTCCTGACAATCAGGCCCGCTCCTCCTCCACTCTAACTCCTCCTCCTGAGCAGTCCTGGACCATCCCTTGATGCAATTTCAAACTACCCCATTTCCCCTCCAAGCCCTCAAAAACTTAGAACACCGGCTCTCTTTGGGGGTTAGAAAGCTCCTTGAGGCCTCCAGTCCAAACCCACCGGAGCCTACTAATCTGAATCTTTAATTTCTTTTATCCCCCACCTGCCCTCCCAAGAGCTTGTCCAGCCTCTGCTTTAACACCTCCAGGAAAGGGCCACTCTACCTCCTAGGCAACCTCCAGACTGTAAACAGCTTGAAAACAGGATCCTTGTCTTATTTTATTTTTGCTCCCCCAGACATGGAACCTAATATAAAGTGCATACCTCACAGATGAATGTCTGCTGAATATATGAACCAATCAATCAATCAACACAGCTGGGGGCAGCTCTGATGTTTATGAAGCCAAAGCCTGTTTTCTGTCTCCCCTCCCACTGCTCTGCCTCAGGAGACCCACAGATTCATCTGCTTCTTCTGAATCAGGCTAGGTTTCTTCCGTTGCTGGACAACAGTCACATCTAAGCTGCTCTTCTGGGTGAAATCCCTGACCCTTGTCGACTCAGTTCACACCACCTGGCACACACAGCCTCCTCACTCTTCAGTGGGCACAGTCCCTTTATTCTGGTTCCTCTTCTGCAACATCTGCAGCTACCTAAGCCCACCAATCCTAGCAATTCAGAGGATGGGGTTCCTGATTAGGCTTCTCTGTTATTCTGGACAAATGGCCTTATGTGGGCCCACTAAACTGGAGGCTACTGTTTATTTATGTGGTTATTCTGACCAAGACAAACCTCTAAACCTCATTCTGACAAATGTTGCAGGCTCTGACATCCTACCGAGTTCCATACCATGGAATAAGCCAGCCAAGGCACTGACTTCCAGCAAAACTCCACAAGGCTGGAAGAAGGCCTTGACGGATGCCAGGCCAGAAGATCTCACTACCCTTCGCCTGGAATTCTTCTGTGCCTTTTGCAGCATTGCATCCTCAATGCCTAGCACACCCCTGGCAAATACTAGGTGATAAAAAAGAGGATCCTTTCAGAGAGCTCTTCAAACTACCTAGTTGCTCAGAGACCTCCATCTCTGATATCCAAAGCAGATCCCTCATCTTTGGTGTCAAACCCTAAGGCCCAGAAATACTAACACAAGGCATCTCATCAACCCTACTTCCTAGGGCAGGAATTACCACCACAATAACTTTGCAGTAAGCAAGCCCCAAGGGTGGAGGCTCACACTTGGGAGGTGGCTCATTTCCTTGCAGGATGGACAATTCAGGGGAAGAGATACTTTCCTCCACATCTTTCTTGCTGTTGGCTTAACTGAAGGATTAGTGGACATGACCTCAATGGTTAAAATGCATTCCTTCCTTAAACTGTATAATAGGCACATCTAACACTCCTCCTTTATTGTGGAAGGAAGCACTCAATCGGTGAAGAGCAGGGAAGGTGCAGAGGTACAGCAGCCTTCGCCCTATGATAGGGCAAGAGAAAGGGCACCAGAAGCCAGGTCTTCAGGAGCTGCCAAGGCATGAGCCAGGTGAGAGAGTCCAAACTGAGCCAACATCAGCAGTCATGTAAGGAACAGGGCCAAAGCAAGGACACTTGAGAAACCAGGAGGGCCAAAGTGAGAAGTAGAGTGCGAACCAGTGTGAAAGAAGCTGGGAAGGAAAGCCTTCAACTGAACCCTAAATGTCCTAGTATGGCTGGGCTGAGTTTCCTAAGGAAGGCCTGAGCAGGGTAGCTAGACTCTGGATAGGGCTTACAGACTAAGATGCCCAAAGACACTTGCCCTTCTCTGTAGGGATATCCCAGTACCCAGCACAATCCCTGGCCCACATTCGGTCGGCACCAATCAACATGGAAGAGTGCTGGACAGACTGCAGGGGGCAAGAGTGGAAGCAGGGAGAGGCCTGGGAGGTTACTGCAGTGGTCCAGGACAAAGCTCAGGGAAGGTATGCTCAGAGTGGAAAGAGAGAAGTGGATGCCTCCAGAGCACGCTTTAGAAGTAGAGTCAACAAGACTTTTTCTTTATGGAGTAGCTATAGAGAATTAAAGGGAAAAGAAGAATCAAGTATGACACCAAAATTTGGAGCTTGAACAAATGGTGAATAGCAGTGCCAATTTATGGAGAAGAAAAGAGAGAGAAGAGGCTTAGCCTAGAAGAAGTAAAATGGGAATCAAAGAGATTTTTACTTTTGGCTTTGTTTTGATTTGTACATGCTAAGTTTGAGACATTTCTTGGACATCCAATCAGAGATACCAAGTAAGCAGTTAAATACAAAGTCTGAAGTTCAAAGAAATGAGGACTCATGGAATACACTTGGAAGGCATAACCTATAGGTGGTATTTAAAACTATTCTTCTGGGGACACCTAACAAGAGAAAGGAGAAATAAAAAAGGAACTGTCTCAGGACCTAGCACTGGGGCCCCACAAGAGGAGACACCAAGAAAGGACACAGAGAAGGAGGAAGAGGTGGACAGGAGGAAAATAAGGACAGTTCTGTAAAGTCACAATGGCCAAAAGGAAAAAGTGTTTCAGTTAGGAAAGAGTAATATAAGGAACTAGTTAACAGGTAGTTACTACTTAACTCTGGAGAGGGGAAGTGGGGACCGGAAGGAGATGAAAGGAAGACTTACTTTTCACTGTATGCCTTTTGTACCTTTCGAATGTTGTACCAGGTGCATATATTACCTATTTGAAACACAAATATAATAATTTAGAAGGTGGAGGAAGAGCAGAATGAGCACTGTTAGTAGGTTTTAATCTCTTCAAGTTGAGACACAGAGCTTCACTTGGTCTTAATTGGTGGATTCAGCCGAATCCTTTCTTCTCTAGTCTGTTTCTTTGTTTTCCTATCCTTGTTTTCATTATTTTACCTGCTTTCATTTACTTTCAAATCTTGGAGCCGGAAAGAGGAAGCATTTGAGGAGAATCCTGCTCCAGACATTTGGAAAACTTTCCCCTAATGAGCCATGTGGGTGCCAGATGTTATCTACAATCCAAAGGCCAGTCCCTCAGTGCAGGCTGGGCACCACAGAACGAGCACATGCTCCGAGACAGGGAAAACAAGGTGATGGAGGGCATGAGACAAGACAGAAGAGGTTGATAGGAAAAGGGGGAAAAGGAAAGGAGAAGTGAGATCAGTTTTGGACACTATGAATTTGAGAAGATGGCAGAAGAACAATAAAAATATGCCATGCCCTCACTACGTGCCAGGCTCTGTGCTGGGTGCTAGGAATACAGCAGTGAATGGCATGGACACAGGAGCTCGCAGAAGCTCTCCACAGAGCTCAGGAGAATGGCCAGAGCCAGATAACTCACTTCCCTTTTACCAGCTCTTAAGGATCCCAATCACTCTCAGGATAAAGTTCAAGCGTCTAGGTCCTTCACCATCTGCTCTGCTCACCCCTCCAGCTCTCTCACCCACTCCAACAACCACTCCACACTGAACCACTTCAGTTCTCCCTTCTGTGCTTTAGCCCATGCTACGCCCACCACCTGGAATGCCTTTCCTTACCTTCTCGACATCAGGCCTCACTTCCTATTTCCTAAAACCGCCTCCACCATACTACCAAGCCGAGTTAGCCATCTCTCCTTTGTCCTCTTAAAACATCTCCTGTATCTCACGAATATACATCTTATTTATCTGTGTCCCTCACACCCAATCCAAGGTCAGAGACAAAGCAGGTGCTCAAGGACTATAGGTCCAAAGCTGAGGAGGACCCTAGAAACAGTGCTGCCTTCTTATGGTTGGGACTCCAGACCTCACCCGAGGCGAAGCCTCACAGGAAGTCAGGACAATGGTATAAGGAGAAAGCAAGTCAAGAAGATGGAGCCCTGGAGGAATGCTCTGGACAGTTCATCCACAGGATTGAATCTACGGAATTACCCAGAGAACTTAAGAATCCTTAGAGGCCCATGTAAGATTCCAAAAGATAATCTAATTCTTAGGGGAACCAAAAGGATGATCCTTGCCCATCCCTACCCTGAAGCCTCTAGAAGAGTCCTTGTCTAAAGACCTACATCTCTCATGGTATCCAGGTCTGCTGCCATTCATTGGGTAAGGTATAACTGTGCCCTCTTGTCTCTAATGTTGCCACATCCCAGAAGTTCTGCTGGCTAACCCTCCAGCCTGCAGTTCCAAATCCCCAGACTCTACTTCCTATATCTAGATGCAAATGGCTATGTCAAGGCTAGTTCTGACCTCTCCTAACCAGGTGTTAGCTCCTATAATCCCAGTCCAGGCCTAGGCCCCAGGTTCCTCCTGCCCATCCAGAAAGGTTTTTGGATAACTAGAACAGGGCTTCAGAAGAATTCTCCCTGTCAGTTCTCACAAAGAGAGTCAAGGATCAAAGTTACGATCAGGAATGGGCTCTTTGGGATTTGGCCAAAGACCTAAGATATTCCTCAGAATAGAATAACCCTTGGTTCTGAAGAGAGTCAAGATCCACCCAGAACCCAGAGGCATTTCCAGGTGAGTTACTAACATGCTGTCATCCAGAGGACTCCCAGGCCTTGACAGGAAATTCTCTGGCACATCACTCTCAGGAAAAACAGACCTATCACTGAGGCCTCAGGAAGCTACCTCAGACCTAGTTCGCATCTCTGATAACAGCAGTGCCGGTGCACTTGTCCCTGTACAATTCTCAACTCATTCAAAAGCCTCACAAGACCTTCTCTGAACACCAAGCTATAGCAGAAGGAGGAAAGGCAAGCCTGATACAATCACAGAGCCACAGCCCTCAAGAAACTCAGCCTGAAGAGATATATCTGAGTCAAAGCTTCACCTAATTGGAAATTTCTGCCCCTTTCAATTCTCAATGGCCAAGTCCCACTACATTTCATGTTCTTCAGCATCCTGTTCTTTAAATTCTTGCTCCGTTCATACTCAGTCCTTCACCCTTACCACTGGCCCCACACACATAACCATCCCACTCTGCCAATGGCCAGCTCATCATACCCTCCCTTCCTGCCAACGGATAAGAATAAGAAACCTATAGATCCTATCACTAGGAGGAAACCTGGTCTGCCCAGCACCTGGAGGTGGCAGGAAATCTTTGTGGCATTTCCTTCCCCTCCAAACCAGAACGAAGAAGCGTCCTGACCTTTGAACCTACACTTTAGACTTTAAAAATCTCTGTTCTATGAAATCAGTGCTGATATTTAGAGAAAAGGGAAACAATAGCCAGGAGGGGCACCAGCTTCCCAAAGCATCCTTTTAACAGGAAAGGGCTTCGTGACCCTAAGTGTTCTCCTATGGTCTTCCAGAGGGTATAGGGGGCTGAAATTATGAGAGAAGAGGAATGCATTCTCCTAGATGGACCAACGACTGAGCTGGAGCCTTTGAGAGTCTGCATAGCTACCACCAATCAAGATGTAGAACCAGACCAGTCCTGGGCTTCTGCGGCAGCTTCTGTGATCACCTTGAATAACCCTTGCACCTTCTAATAGGGACACTACTCCACAGTGCCAGGAATCTGACCGATTCCGGACTCTGGACTCTCCCTTCAGCTAACCTGGGACCCACTATGTCCTCCTAAGGCTCCCAAATTGCCTCCTACAGATCAAGACCTCTGGCCCACCAGGTAAACTTCTGCCCTCTAGCTATGTCCCACCCTAGCCACCCTTATGCTGTTACCCACCCTGGCACAAGATTAGCATGTCAAGTAGCCTGTGGGGGGAATTCAGCAGACATGGAGAAGCAGCTTTGGCCCCTCCTTTCCTGGGCAGCGTTAACCCACCTTGACAGAGATGTGGCCGTGGGCCTGGGGAAGGTGGGCAGCCAAGAACCAGTCCCCAGGTAAGGGGCTGCTGACGTTAAAGATGCCTGAGGTGCGGTTGGGCAGTGTCCAGCTGAGGGTCAGTGAGAAAACCCCAGGCACAGCTGTGTCCCCCGGGAAGTGTGTGTGCAGGGGATTGATGACAGGGGGTGCCCCGGACCGGAAATACCTGGGGGACCAGAATGAGGAGAGGAAGACAATAGGCAATGGGGTGGGAGACAGGAAATGGGGAAAAGAACTGTCAACTCATCACCAATAACACAAGTGAATTCCCTACACTGATACATACAACAAAGTGGTTCCAGGTCAGGAGTCAGGACATAAAGAGTAAAAGGTCAGCTCAGACTCTCACACAGTCAAACAGTACTCAGGAAGTAGTCAGGAGACAAAGGTCTTGTCCCTCACTCAGTCATACTTCAATCCGGACAAGGGTCAGGGATCAGGGTCAGGAGGTCAGTTTAGATACTCATAAAGTCACACTTTAGTTTGGAGAGTGGTCTGGGGTGGGAGGTGGGGTCAGGATGTTAACTCGGACACTCACACAGTCACACTTTGGTCTGGACAGTGGTCCCCAAAAGTTCCCCCCTGCTCCTTGAAGATGATGAGGTTCCAAACAGCCAGGAACGTGTCCTCGGGAACGTGGAAGTGGAAGAGCTCGGTGCTGGCAAAGGAGCGGAAGGGACTCAGCTTGCGGGGTGAGCAGGTGGAGTAGTCAGTCAGGAAGAGGCCTCCTGGGGAGCATGCAAGAGAAAAAGGAGCAGCGTAGGACTCAGGGCATTTCTGCTAAGCAACAGGCACACCAGTCTTCCTCACCGATAGCACAAACTCAACAAATATTCTCTTCTGAGCCAGGAGCTGGGTCTCATGCTACCCTAGCCATCATCTGCTTTAATCCTTACAATGCCTTGGGGAAAATGACCCGTTTTTACAGATAAGGAAACTGAGGCTCAAGCCTAGACCAAACTGAGAATTCAAACCTACATCCATCTACATCCCAAACCAGGACCCTTTATATGACCCCTCACTTAGGAGCCATTGTTCTCCTCTTAGCAAGCCTAATAGCACAGATGTGTGAATGGCACACATGTGTATGTGTGTGTGTGTGTGTGTGTGTGTGCGTATGTGTGTGTGTTGGCATGGACTCTTGGGCCACTGAGCAGGCTAAACTCCACCTGTGGAGCTTCAAAGTCAGCAAGGAACTGTCTAACTTTCCTTGTTTATTTTCTTCCCCTTTCTGTTCCCCTGTGGTCCCAAGAGCAGTGAAAACCCTCAGAAGTCTCACAAAAGCTGTCTGTATACTGGCTCAGGGCAGGAGGGAGGGTTGGGTGGAAATGTGGTGAGGATGCAAAGGACCAGCTTGGGTGGCAGAGGCAAGAAGAGGAGCTGGCAGACACCATGAGAACTCCCAGGAGAGAAGGGAGTCATCAGGCCCTCTAGGATTCAGAATGAACAACCAGACGGCGTTTCCCCAGAGGAAGACCCAGTGAGGCAGTCAGTTCATGACTCAGTGGAATCTCAAACCACTTGGAAATATTCACACTTGGGGCTGGGGGGTACTGGTCATCTCTAACTGAAGTGCCAAGCTACAAGATACCTGATCATGGTTGTTCAGAGCACAGCCAAGGTGAGCAAAAAAGTCTAGTGGCAGCAGCTAGCCAGGCAAAGCACACAGGCACTATGACTGCTAGAATTGTGAAAATAACCTGTAGCTCAGCTGCATAGAAGGGTGTCCCAAATGGCAGGCAAAATTCTGGAGAATCTGACTGCTCTAGAGATTTAAGACCAGCCCCAGAGAAGCACAGAAGGATGCCCCCAGGACAGATGAGAAGGCTCGGAACTCAAGCAGCTTCAGGACAGAGCAGGGGCTGGAGGGGAGACCCTGGACGAGAGTTTTCAGCCAAATAGGAAATACCCGCAAGGCTTACCTCGTCTGACAATCTCCCTTCCAGAAATGGGAGCTATAACTCCAAAAATGAGGTATATGATACAACAGAGAAAGAGCTACCTGGGAAAGACAGTCTGCAGAAGGAGGGAGCACAGGTAAGGAGGACACCGGTGAACTTCAAGGTCACCCTACCCAGAGCTGCCCTAAATATGTAGAGGCCACTGGCCCTAGACTGGCCTCTCCTCATCCTCAAAGGCCAGTCACACCAAAGGACTAGTCAGTCCAGTTCAGACCACATGATTGGTCTCAACTGTCAGCGAGGAAGACCTGCCACCTTGCAAGCTGAGCACTGATTAACAGGGAGGCAGAAAGCCGAGAGCTAAAAAGCTTGGATACTATTGTTACAAGCAAGCAGAGCTCTGGAGCGCCCTCTGCTGGGGTCGAGGGAGGGCCTCTCCTCCTCCAAAGCGGGTACCAGGGATGGGTCACCGGATGGGCCATTGCTACTGCTAGGAAGAAATGTTGGCCAGGCCCCTAATGCGGACTCTCAGAGAGAGTCTCTAGTCAGAGAACTAGTGGTGAAAAGTAGCTAATGAGTTTTGGGAAACAATGGATAAACAAATACAAAAATCCTTGTGATTCAAAGAAACATGGCATGGCCAGGAGAACCGGGGAACTAGTTAAGCCACCCCAAAAATGGCTAGGGGCTATAGAGATCATGGAATGGGCCAGTGGGAAAAGTCCAGCAACTTGACATAGTGGGAGGAACCCAGAAGTTCTGAGGGGAGACGCTTGAGAGAGCATCCACAGCCCCAATCACCGCAAGCTCTGGTTTGGCATTTCACAACAGAGCTGTGGCCCAGAGGAAACATGAGTAAAGCCCTGGTCAAGCTCAGATGAAGCTGTCCTGGATGCTCCACTACCTCCACATGAAGCTAGAGTGACTCTTCCCACCATCTGAAACATACATGCACATACACAGACAGACATACGGACACACGTGCATACAGGCAGAGGCGGGCCCTGCTAGTGATAGCACTAGGTAGAACAAAAGGTAGAACACTTCCTGGAATGGGCAGGCACACCTGGGCTATGCAACTATAGTCAGCGGAGGAAAAGATCCAAGGATTGGGGTAGGACCAGGAGACCCAGGAGGTACCTTCCATTCCTGAAATGAGATTGAAGCCAATAATAAGCATTTATCAAGACTATACTATGTGCTGTGATGTGCTATGATGGTCCTGTGACACTGCCAGCCTCTCCTCTGGTGAAATCTATCACCACCACTAGGTCACAGAGCACCCCTGCAGGCAGGCCACCAAGGCAGTGATTATTAACAGCATTAAGGGCAACTCTGCCCGAAGTAGGGCCTATTCAGTGCTCTTTTCCAACTTCATTACAAGTCTCCCCAAAGCACCTGAACCCACTTCTGGACGATCGTGTTTTAACCCACACCTTTTAGCTTTATACAGTTCTATGGCTCATGAACAAAGAAGTCATGGTGGCAGGGATGGAAGCTATGAATTGGGCTCAAAAGTATGGATTCTCCCTCGCCCGAACTGAAAAACTGGTATGGCTGCTACCTCCTCTGAGTGTCTAATCTGCCAGCAGCAGTAATCAACACTGAGCCCCTCTAGAGCTCCTTCCTCCAAAGAGTCAGGCTAGGGCTGACCAAACACTGCCAAACACTGCCTCCAAATAAGAAATCCATTTGGAAGGTGACACTTCAGTAATCCATCTATACAAGAAGCATGTTCCTCCTAAAGAGGAACATGTATTCTTCCCCTCACGTAATAACATAGGCGCTCAGAGGACACACGGGCTCACATGCACCCCACAGAACATACCAACAGACAAGCATGTACATACACTGACATGACCAGCATTCCCAGGGACCCCTAAGGTACACACACAGACGCTTAAGTGCCCAGATGCCAGTGCACATACACATAGAGTTTGGACATCTCTGCAGGGGCACAACCGTTGGCATGTATTGATCTCCTCAAGCTTGTACACTGAACTAGGCCCCCAGAGCTCACCGAAACCCAGCTCCAACCCTCAGCTGCTTGGGTGTTATTGCCAAAGACTCCCTTAGGCACATCTCCATCCTATCTACAGTGCCACCCACCAGAGGTGGCAGGGGTTGAGGCCATGAAGACCACAGTCATCTCCTTCTGAGAGGGCCAACTTTATGGCATATCTCCTACAGCCAGGACCCCCTCCTCCTATCACATTCTACCCATTAAGAAGTTGGACCTCTCTCTCTCTGAATCACTTCCTCCCTGAATGGTGGCTATAGGCTGACAACCGGCAAATGAGGAAGAATTTGTGGATTAAGCCTCCTTTTGGGAAGACAGGGGAGAGGACAGGTTGTGCTTTGAGTCTTCTCCCAACTGGGTCAATTTTCCTATTAGGCATATGTTGCAGTGAAAAAAACCACTAGTATGGGACAGGAATTAGGAAACTTTTTTCTAGCCCCAGTGCCACCATTTACAAGCTTGTATGACCTTGGGAAAACTGCACCCCAACTGAGCCTCAGTTTCCCCATCTGTAAAATGGCCCCATCTGTATTTCAAAACTACTCTAAAAGTGTCAGGAATTATTCCTAAGCAAGTCAAGTTTATCTGGAACAAGGCTCATTAGCAAAAACAAATCCCGTTATAATGGTGACTAACCCATGTCCATCTGTTTGCTACACGTTGTTCTCAAAACTGTTTTCTTAACCCTGTTTTAATGCATGCCCAATATCTCAAAGTTTAGGCCACATCTTCCCACACTGGACTAAAGGCTCTCTGGTGTAGGAGGATCATGTCTCCCCCATCAAACTTCCCTTGCAGGAGAAGTTTGCAAGTTTTCTTCCTCAGAAAAGCAAGAGTCAATGTGGGGTCAGCGTGGACACCAGCAAAGAAAACCTTGGAGTCTCTGTCCTGGGGACTATTAGGCACCTGCTGAGCCTCAAGCCCACAATTTGCTCTCTTCTGAACCTCCCAATTCCTCTCAGTTGTGTAAGACCTCTCTCCTCCCTATTTCTCCCCACCTCTCCCCCAGTGATCTAGCTGCCCAGGTCCCACCTCTCCTGAATCCCTCCAGTCCATCCCTCCCTGCCAGAACCCCATCCCTGCCTCGGTGCTTCCTGCTTCTGCACTCACCAGCCCCTGGGCCAAGGACAGAGAACAGCAACAGCAGCAATAAGGCGGGCGGCAGCTGGAGCCCAGACCTGAGTCGAGGCTGGGAGAGGGGCACGGTATGAGAGAGAGGGGTGGGTAGTGGGAGAGACTTGGGTAAACACAGAGACGAGGGCAAAGGCTGAGATAATGGATTGGGCTGTGCTAGGCACTGGGGTTTGAACAAGGGCAGGGAAAGGGATGGAAGGAGGGGCTGTGATGGGGACTGGAGCAAGGGTAGGGTTTGGGCCTGGGGCTTAAGCAAACACTGGGAATGGGGTCGGGACAGGGGATGGGCTGGGATTTGTGACAGAAGGTGGAACACGGGCATAGGCGGGGTTAGGGGCCAGGAAAGGCACAGGGACTGGGACTGGAGCGGGGGCCTGGGTTGGGACCTGGATCTGGGCATTCGCTGGGACTCAGGCCGGGGCTGGGACCGATTTGGGAAGCGGGGCGAGGGCGGGGCTGGGGGCCAAGGGCTGGATGGGGATAGGACGAGGGGCCGGGACAAGGGCTGGGCCATGGCCCGGGGCGGGGGCGGGGCCGGACCGGCCAGCGCGGGGAGCGCGCAGAGCTGACCCACGGCTCCGCTCCCCACCCCCGGGGGGTGGCTTTCGGTGTCCTTGTGGGCCCGGGGCTGGGGTCGGGCCGGCTGAGGCCAGGCCCGGGACCTGGGTAGGAGTTCAGGCCTGGGCGACTCCGGGCTGCGCTGGACCGGCGATAACCAGGCCCCGCGGCGGCGGCCTCAGCCTGACGTAGTACGACACTCCGCCCCTCCTCAATTCGATTGGTCCTTATCAGTAAAGCCCACCCCATGCCCTATTCTATTGGTCTCCAACTTGATTCTGCGGGCCTTCGAGGACAGACTCCCGCCCCAGCCCCAGCTCCCTGAACCCTGCCTTTCTCACCCCATCCTGGGAGCCCCGAAGCCCACCTCAGATCCTCACAGTCCCCACTGATGGAGCCACACACATCTCATAGGAACCTTACAGAGACCCTCACAAACCCAGACACCTACGGACGTCCCCACAGATGTCCGCAGACTACCCAAACACTCTCACAGAGATCCAACAAACCCCTTTAAGAGAAGTGAGCCCCCTAAACTCGTCCCCTTTGGTCCAATGCAGCCTCCTCTGGAGACCGGACTGTTGTTGCCACGGAGACTACCGGGCGTTCCGATTGCTCTGGTGACGGATCCCTCCTCTCCCAGCACGTGTTCCAGAGGTTTCAGTCAAGCTCCTCCCTCAACGGCCCCGGAACCCCTCGTCCCTCCCCAAGTCCCCCTCCTCAGATCTGGCCAGAGCTCCTTTGCGAATTTCTGCAGGTGTCCAAGTCCCCTCGCCAAGTCGTAGACTTGAAGGCAAGGCCTCTCGCTACATAGCAAGTACAGCCAGGTCTCATCCAAGAGCCTTCCATCCCTCGCTAACATTTCCCCTTCCCAGCTTAAGACGAGATCCTGACCTAAGGACTTGTAACAGCCAAGACAGGCCCAGAGGTATGTAGTTTCTCCAATGGCTCTTCCTCCAAGCCCTCATCTCGTTCCCCTCCTAACGTATTCTGTCCCTTCCCACCTTAGTCCAACCCTCTCCCATTCTCTACTTTTCATCCTTACCCTCCCCCTCCACCACATTTCTCCACCCAGTTCCGTCTTCCCCTTCTTTTTCTCCTTCCTCTCCTCCTACCGACTGATTCTCCACCCTCACGTACCTTTTCCTGTGCTGAATATCAGATCATCTTCCTAACCTACCTCTCTCACTACTTCTTGTCCCAAGCTTCCCCTTTGGAAAGACTAATGAATACAAGTAATGAATCCATCTGGAGCATGAGGGGGAAAGTAGGGAGCACAGAAAGTTAAGGCTGGAAAAGTTAGGCAGTGTTGCAAGTAATGACAGGCCTTGAATGTCAGGGCCCAGAAATTTGGAGTTAATCTTAAGGCTGAGACAACTGAGTGTTTTCAAGCAAAGGAACAGCATTGTTAGACTTGCATTTTAGAAAGATCTCCAGTGGGTCATTAAGGAGGGCTGACTTCTTTTAGACATCCCTCCAAGATAAATTAGTCACACCTCACTCCCCACAGCATCCTGAGCTTACCCCAGCACAACATCAACTCATCTGTATTGTCATTGGGTTAACCTGGTCCACCTTCCCAGATTCTTTCAGAGTCCAGTGCTTAGCACAGTGCCTGGGTGAAAGTGTAAGATTGGGCTCTTCAAAAAGTATCAGTTTACAGGGGCAACTGGGTGGCTCAGTCAGTTAATCTTCCAACTCCAGCTCAGGTCATGACCTCACAGTTTGTGGGTTTGAGCCCCGTGTCGGGCTTGGTGCTGACAGCTCAGAGCCTGGAGCCTGCTTTGGATTCTGTGTCTCCCTCTCTCTCTGTTCCTCCCCTGCTCATGCTCTGTGTCTCAAAAAAAAAAGTAAAAAAAAATTTTAAGTATAAGTTACATAAATCAATGAAAGAATGGCTGAGTGGATTGATGTGCTGGGAAAAGTCGCAGAGGGGCAAAGTTGTTACATAATCCAGGTAGAAAACTATGAGAACTTGAACAGAATTGGAGGGGAGAGAATGGATTTTGGTAATACAGTATTTAGAAGACAGGAAACACAGTTCTTGGTGCCTATTTGAAGATGAGGGCTGAGGGGAAAGGATAAGACTAAAATAATTCCCAGAGTTCAGTTTTGATGCCCTGTGGGACATCCATTTAGCAATGTCCAGCAAGCAATTGGGTTTGAGTGTGAAGTACAGGGATTTAAAGAGGTCTGAGCTGGAATTATGGATTTAGAAATCATCAGCATACCAGCCGGAAGTAATTGAAGCCTTGGACATGAATAACATCAAGGGAGGCTTGATTATGATCCCTAGACAAAACAGGCTGCAGTCAGGGCCCTGCCTAATGCATCATGACATTGTCTTGCACTCTTAAGAGCAAACCCCCACCTTGGCTTGGTAGTATCCCAGTCTCTAGAACTCCACTGCCTGAACATCCTGGTCCTAAGACTCAGGCCCCTGCTCTTGGACTAGCCAAGCTGCTATGTTCAGGCTCTTCCTGGGGCATGGTCCTCTGCTACCATCTACTGATGGGATTCTGACTGCTTCAGCCTTTCTATCTTTAAGCTCCCTCACAACCCATAGCTACATGCCACACGGCATCTAGGCACACAGGTGAACCTCTTGGCACCATACCCTGACCCAAAGTTCATCTTGCTTCCCCTTTACATCTCAGGTGCACAGAAAACTTTATCCTAATTCCATAATCCACCCCCCCACCCCCCCACCCCCCCGTGAACTCTGACTTGCAGACCCTCCAACCTCCGATCCCAACCTAATGAAGCCTGTACCTTATTCTACCACTAGACGGAAACAGACGAGGTCACAGAAGAGCCTCAAACAGCCATGGATGCAGAGGAACACCCCTCTTCAAAGGACCCCTCTGCCAAGGACTCACAGGAGCCCCCTGGCCCTGAAACATCCTTTGAGACTTCCATCCCTGAGACCCCTTTAGAGCCCCACACCTCTGAGATCCCTTTAGAGCCCCACATCTCTGAATCTCATAGGACACCATCTGCTTCCCAGGCCCTTTTAGAGACCCACACCTCTGAAACCCCTTTGGCAACTTACATCCCTGAGACCCCCTTAGAGCCCCACACCTCTGAATCTCATATGACACCATCTGCTTCCCAGGCCCCTTTAGAGATCCACACCTCTGAAACCCTTTTGGAGCCTTCCATCCCTGAGACCTCTTTAGGATACTCTGTCTCGGAGATCCCTTTGGAAACCCCTATCCCTGAGACCCTACTGGAGACTCACATGTTTAAGGTCCCAGAGAAACACCTTTCTTTTCATACCTCATCACAAGGCCGTATCACTGTACCTTCCTCTAATACTCTGAAGGAAGACCTCTCTGAGTATTCCTCCAGTGAGGTCTCACAGACAGGGAGGTCTACCCAGATCTCTGAGTCTGAGATCCTTCAAAAGCACTCCCTTTCAGGCCCTTCAGCCCAGGTCCACCTGGACACATCTGCAAAGGAGAAGGAAGAGGAAGGAGAGGACAAGGAGCAGGTGGATGCCACTGACAGTACCACACACACAGCTCAGCCTGGACACCAGCTGGTCAAGAAGAAGGGGAAGAAAGGAGTTAGCCGTAATTGTGCCTGCACTTTTCCCCATTCCCCATTATATATATAATTTATTGTCAAATTAGTTAACATACAGTGTACACAGTGCACTCTTGGCTTAGGGAGTAGATTCCCATGGTTCATCACTTATATACAACACCCAGTGCTCATCCCAGCAAGTGCCCTCCTCAATGTCCATCACCCATTTTCCCTGCCCCCTAACCCCCCACCCCATCAACCCTTAGTTTGTTCTCTGTATTTTAGAGTCTCTTTTGGTTTGCCTCCCTCTCTGTTTGTAACTATTTTTTTCTTTCCCTTCCCCCATGGTCTTCTGTTAAGCTCTTCAAGTTCCACATATGAGTGAAAACATAGGATATCTGTCTTTCTCTGACTGACTTATTTTTTAGCATAATACCCTCCAGTTCCATCCAAGTTGTTGCAAATGGCAGGATTTCATTCTTTCTCATTGCCAAGTAGTATCCCATTGTATATATAAACCACATCTTTTTTTTTAATTTTTTAATGTTTATTTATTTTTGAGAGACAGAGGCAGCATGAGTGGGGGAGGGGCAGAGAGAGAGGGAGACCCAGACTGTGAAGCAGGCTCCAGGCTCTGAGCTGTCAGCACAGAACCCGACGCAAACCACATCTTCTTTATCCATTCATCAGTTGATGGACATTTGGGCTCTTTCCATAATTTGGCTTTCTGTAATTTGTTGAAAGCGCTGCTATAAACATTGGGGTACATGGGGTACATGTGCCCCTATGAATCAGCACTCCTGTATCCTTTGGATAAATTCCTAGTAGTGCAATTGCTGAGTCATAGGGTAATTTTATTTTTAATTTTTTGAGGAACCTCCACACTGTTTTCCAGAGTGGCTGCACCAGTTTGCATTCCCACCAACAATGCAAAAGGGTTCCCCTTTCTCCACATCCTCTCCAGCATCTATTATTCCCTGAATTGTTAATTTTAGCTACTCTGACCAGTGTGAGATGGTATCTCAATGTGGTTTTGATTTGTATTTCCCTGATGATGAGTGACATTGAACATCTTTTCATGTGTCTGTCAGCCATTCAGATGTCTTCCTTGGAAAAGTGTCTTTTCATGTCTTCTGCCCATTTCTTCACTGGATTATTTGTTTTCCAGGTGTTGGGTTCGTTAAGTTCTTAATAGATTTTGGACACTAATCCTTTATCTGATATGTCATTTGCAAATATCTTCTTCCATTCCATTGGTTGCCTTTTAGTTTTGTTGATTGTTTCCTTTGCTGTGCAGAAGCTTTTTATCTTTGGAGCTCCTGGGTGGCTC